CACACACACACTATATATATAGATACATTGTTATTTGCATACAAAATGAAAATGAAAATTTCTGCCTTTTAACATGGGGGGAAGGCCCGTTGTCTTTGATTCAAGTATGACGTGCAGGGAAGCAGCTCCTGTAGCTCTGGAGGAGCACAGGAAGGAAAGGAACATGTAGTGCTGAAGCAAGCTGCTTGACCAACCCAACCTTCTCCCCTACCACCACAACCAGTCTTAGGGACTGGATTCATCTATATATGTGAAAGGGAATTTAATTTTTACCCATCTAAGAAACTAATACTTAAAGGCTGCCTATCAGGAAATCAAGTCTATGTCTGAAACTTAACCATATGAAGAAAGACAGAGGGGTACATCCATTCATAAATGCAAGTTTCTCAATTCACATCCAAGCCAAACAGAGCTACCTAAGTTAATTGAGTATCATAAAAAACAGTGGTTATTCCAATAGCATGGTACAGAAATAAAAGTAACTGCTTTTTTGTGTGGCCATACGCAAATTTACATCCTGAGACATACAGTGGAGCTATAACTAAAAGACCACTACGTGTGCTTCATTTTCATGCATGGGATACCAGTATTTAGCACCTGTCAAAAGTCTCATGCTCCATTTGTCCTGGGTCATTTGGTTTGAGGTCCCAACTAGAAAAAGAAGCAGGTGCTTTGTACTTTTGGGTTCAATTCCTGGAACTACCAACAGGCAAGAGGACTGCTCACACTGCATGAATGGTAGCATTATTATTACTGCAATACCAGTTGCAGGATCAAAGCTTAAATGCGCATCTTGAAGTGCCATAATGGACAACAGGAACATAGAGTTGGCAGTTATCATAAAGTGAAGTTCACTGCTATTACAGATCATCAGCTACAAGATTATATTCTTTGCATCAGATACCAAAAATAATTATTCTACACCAGAGGTGAGTAACTTCCAACCCACAGGCCACATCCAGTCCACATACAAGGGGCTTTGCTGGCATCTGGTGGCAGGAGGGGCTTCAGCAGTGGGTGCCTTCCCATGCTGCCATGGGGAGATGCACTACCTGCAGAAGAGTCCTAGTCCCCATCTGGCCACCCGCCACTAACCTGAGGTGGTTCATTCTGGCTCACCAGAAAAGGTTCCCTATTGCAGTTCTACACTACTACTTTATTTTCAGTTTAGTAACATTTGCCTTTGTCACATTTAGTCAGTATATGGCATTCATGTACCAGTTACATTTAAAACATTTTATTTTTGATCTTACACAGATGTTCATATCTCTTAATGAAGATTTAACAGATGCCAGAGTAAGCTGGTATATAAAAATAGAGAAAGCAGCTATTAATTGTCCATAAAATGTCTCAAATCAAGAGCTGATAAAAAAATTCCCCTAAGGGAAATAATGTCTAAAGAGAATCTTTTCTGAACATCTTTTAAATCACTCTGCTATTCTTAGAGCTGGAGAATCTACATAGTTTCTTTCGTGTTTTGCAATTTTTCATGGCTGCCAAGCAATAGTAGATCACATTAGACAATTTAGCAATACTCATTTCCTATAGCGGGAACCAAGGAAATGGTCGTCATTCTTACCCATCCATCTTATCCAAAATTTCTTCTCCCATTTTGAATTGGATATGCTACACATAAGTGAAAGCTGGTGAAATTTATGTAGCGAATACAGCAATTGATAACTAAAGGACAGACTTTCAAAGCTATTTAGCTGCCTAAGGATGCATATAGAAACCTAGCAGGATTTTCAGAAACACTTACATTCTTAACCCTCATTTAAATCACTAAGAGTAGGATACCTAGATGCTTTGGGAGATCCCACTGGTTGCCTATCTATCTTTAGAAGCCTAAAAGACAACTGCAAATCCAGCCCAGCCCAGTTTTTCACTGGAAAGCCAGTTTACTTATTTTATTCAACTTGCATGAGAGTTAGCAAAATACCTAGGTAATATGTATGCAAGGAGCTTTGCGTGGATTCTTTCATCCTATTTCTTTTTTTAATGAAAAGAGAGGAATATTATTTTTTTCAAAATTACTATGAATTATGAATAACTCAAATTACTTCAGAGGAAATTACTGGGGTGTAGGTTGTAGCCGTGTTGGTCTAAGGACATAGGCAGACAAGGTTCTTTGGATAAATCTGATATCTTTTATTAGACCAACTCAAATAGTTGTAAAAATTCTTCTTAGCAAGCTTTAAATACAACAGGCTTAGGAAGCAGTTGCAGTTAGTGTGTGCTGTTCCTGGATGGAATGAATAGTAAAGAAGTCAGAGGCTGGTATTCATGCAAAACAGGCAGTCAGTGAAGATGTAAATTGAGGTGTCAGTGGGTGAGAGACAGGATGGGGTGGGGAGGGGAGGGAATTAAAGTAGCTGGTAAATAGTGGAGATGCACATGGGGAGTCAAATGTTAGGTGGGTTATAATGTCACACATCCAATGTCTATATTTACAAATACAAAAAAAATCGCAAAGCTCCCGTGACTTGGAGCCCCAAGCTGAAGGACTCCCACTGTGGGGGTGTTCCATGCACCCCTGGGTCTAGAGGATAGCTGCTGTGGCAATCTCCCAAACCCAAGGGTGCAGGAAAACCCCTGGGGCAGATGATTATTGCAGGGTGATCCCCCCCACCTATTCCAGGGGTGTGGGGAACCCCTGGGGCCATAGGATCACATGATCCTCTAGCGCTGGGGGTTTCAGATACTGCAGCTGTGATCCCCAGGGTCTAAGGGTTACCCACCCTCCAAGCCCTGGGGATCACAGCTCCCATGATTCTTAGGGCCCAGAAGTGCAGGAAACCCCTGGAGCCTGGGTGCTGCAGCTACCAGGATCTCTTGAGGGTTTTCTACTGGGCATGGTACACACCTGCTACATATGCAAATTAAAGCTGAATAGCAACCAGCTAAAATGTTACACACATTTTCAAGGTCTAACTTTATAGCTGGAGTTTTTTATTGCTACTTTGCAAGTGTAGGTGGTCTCCAGGTAACTGTACAATTAACCAGTTAACTGTGCAATATCTGTAACTTGTAGAGGGAGGCCTAACTGGTTGGTTAGTTTAACTGGAAACTACAGTGCTACTTCCTCCACTTCCCTAAGGCTGAGCATTCTGTCTCAAGGTTAAAATGCAGATCATTTTTAGACCATTAGGCCAAACAGAAGCCAACCAACTTTACTGTTAATAAATCATTTAATTGCACAGCATGACACTTTCACTCTATGCAAAATTACAGGGTTAGAAATATTTAGCTTCTCCAGCAATCTGATTAGCAGAACATCCTAAGTACCTTCTAATATTTATTAATATATTGTGCAATAGAGGTTGATTGTT